GGAAGCCCAACTAGAGAGTTCCCTTCAAGACTGGTTCCTAGACCTCACTATCCCTAAAATTTTTTGGAAACCCCAGGAAGCCCCCCCCCCCCCCCCCCCCCCTGGGAGACGCACGCTTTGGGCTTTCACCCCTTGACCCGTATTAGTATTTGGACTTAGTCTCTGGCTCGATCTTGGACCCGATTTCGGATCCGACTTTGGATTCGGTCTCGGACTCGATCTCGGACTCGATCTCGGACCCACTCTCGGACCCGACCTCGGACTCGACCTCGGACTCGGTCTCGGACCCAATTTCGGATCTCGGACTCCGTCTCGAACTCGGTCTCGAACTCGGACTCGATTTCAGACTCTATCTCGAACTCGGTCCTAGAGTCGGTCTTGGACTCGATCCTCGACTTGGTCCCATCCGATGAACTCTTTGTCATTTTGGTCAAGCTTTTGGGGATCCTTTAGCCTACGACATCTCGGGGAGTCGGTTCCTTACAACTCCACCACCCATAGAAGAAGTTCGATGCCCACATTGAACGTCTCGTTTTATCCTACGATTTGTTGACCATGTCTCCGGGGGCATACCCCCACTTAGCGGTGTGCCTAAGTTAGCCTCCCCGGCCAAGAGCCCATGACAACGGAATATAGGTGTCCCTATACTCCTCACCTCACCACGCCCTAGTATGGGGTCGGGACTTGAACCCAGCCTTGCTTTACTAGGGGGTTGGGACTCGAACCCAACCTCCGTAGAATACATCTACGGATTTGACATCCCTGCGGGGAGTCAGGCGTAGTGCCCTACGCCTGGTCGACCTATCCAACCCATGCTAATTAGCTTACCTTTGGCGTGCCTTTGGGTCCCAACATATGCCACTCGCTCAACTTTGCAAATTGATATTTTTAATTGAATTTTGCATAAGTACATAGAGTTCTGCCTTGCAGAAATTCCTCCACTAGATCTCGCGCATTCGCTAGGTTCTCCTCCGGTTCCCATGTTGCTTCGCAGTGTGGAAATCCTTTCCACTTCACATGGAACTCTCTCACCTCGCGTCCTTGTCGCTTGCTCTTGCGCGCATTGAGGATGGCCTCGACTTCGTATTCCTCTTCCCCTTGGATAACCTCAGGTAAAGGTCTCACTTGGTCCTTGCGAAGCGGATCCTCAAAGTACGGCTTGAGTAAGTTCACGTGGAACACTAGGTGCATCTTCCCCATCTCTCGAGGAAGTCGGAGTCGGTAAGCCACTTTACCGATTCGTGCCTCAATCTCTTAAGGCCCCGCGAACCTGTTTAAGGAACTCAAGATCAATTCATTTACAAGAATAAATGCATCTTTACCTTTGGGTCAACTTTCGGCTGATCCCACTTGGTAGTCTGAGGTTCTTGGTGTTCAGCCACACCTTCTCCCCAGCTTGGAACTCTACATCCCGACGCTTCTGGTTCGCGTATTTGGTTTGCCTTTGTTGAGCCCGTTCCAAGGAATCCCTCACTAGATTCCAAATGCTGAGTCTTTCCGCCGTGAATGCCTCCACTGCGGGCAATTCTCCATGATACTCGGCCACGCCGAGTTCCACAGGACCTTCGATAGCTCGCCCATTGATGACTTCCCATGGACTCACCCCGATACTCGAATGTGGTGAGTTGTTATAACACATTTCCGCAAGTCCCAAATGACTTACCCAATCGGTCTGGTCTCCCGAGACATAGCATCGCAAATAATCCTCCAGCTGCCTATTCACCCTTTCCGTTTGTCCGTCTGTCAAGAAGTGTTAGTGCCAACAACTTGACTCAATACCCCATACCTGTCTGTGGGTGATAGGCTGTGCTGAATTTCAACTTGGTGCGATACTGTTCCAGGAGAGTCCTCCAGAACCTACTGGTGAAGATCTTATCTCGATCTGAGATGATCTCTTCCGGTCTTCCCCGCACTCGAACCACTTGTTCGAAGAACAGCTTTGCCACACCTTCCGCATCCACCTCCATTGTGGTGGGTATGAAGTGTGCCATTTTCGAAAATCGGTCCACCACCACGAATATCACATCAAACCCCTCGCTTGGGGGGAGTCCCGTGATGAAGTCCATCGTAAGACATTTCCACGGGTGATCTGGAATTGGGATGCTTTGCAACAAGCCCCCACTAGCCTTAGTCACAGCTTTTACCTGCTGACATGTTGGACATGTCTTTACATAGTCTTGGACGTCCTTAGCCATATCTGGCCAATGGTACTTCCTTTTGAGTAAGCCCATCGTCTTGGGCACTCCACCGTGTCCCGCAAGAGGTCCGTCATGACACTCTTCTAAGGCCACCTTCCTTAGTTCCCCTTCTGGAACATACACCCTCGTTTGCTTGTAATAAATGAGTCCGTTGTGTTCCGCATAGCCCGTTTTCTCTTCCGTTGGCAGCTCACCTCTCTGGTGAGCTTCCCGCGCCTCTAGATTCCTCAGCAACACTTCCTGTGCTAGACCATCGTTCTCATATGCTATCCGCACATCATCCCAGAAGGTTGCTGTTGCGCTGGATATTGCCAACCTCAAGCTCGCTTTTCGACTTAGCGCATCCGCCACGATGTTGCTCTTCCCAGGCTTGAACAGAATTTTGCAATCAAACTCGGCCAAGGTATTGGCCCACCGACCTTGTTTCCCTCTTAGGTCGGGCTGTGATAAGAAGTGTTTCGTTGCCACATTGTCCGTGTAAACCTTGAAGTGTCTCCCAAGGTAGTGTCGCCACTCCTTGAGCGCCTTGACCACCGCAAACAATTCCTTCTCGTGGGCAGGCCACTTCCGTTGAGCCTTGTCCAGCTTCTTCGAGAAGAACGCTACCGGATGGTTGTCTTGCTTCAAAACTGCGCCCAACGCAAAGTCCGAAGCATCCGTTTCTACCTCAAAGT